CACTGTGATGAACTATAGATGTCTAGGGCTTATTCATTTTGCATAACTGAAGCTTTTACTACTTTCACTAATACTTCCCCATATCAGAATTGTTTTACTTTTAAATTTTTATTTATTTGAAAGGCAGCAAGATAGAGGGAGAGATCTTCTATCTGCGGTTTCATTCCCCCAAGTGGCTATAACAACTGAATATTGGCCAGGCTGAAAACAGGAGCCCAGAACTCAGGGTCTCCCATGTGGGTGGCAAGGACCTCAAGTCCTTGAACTAGTACAGCTGGCACCACATAGAGGTACTGGATAATCGATGGACACAGGCATAGTAACTGCTAGGCTAAATACCTGTTCGCAAAAGTGAACATTCACTTATTCAGTCATTCATTATTTGAAAAGCAGAACTGCAGAGAGAGAAGGAGAAGCAGAGAGAAAATCAGAGATCAAATCAAAGGGTTACTCCCTAAATGGCTACACCTGCTAGGGCTGAGCTGGGATGCAGCCAGGAGCTTCTTCCAGGTCTCTCACACAGGTGCAGGAGCCTAAGGATTTTAGACATCTTCTGTTGTTTTCCTAGGCACATTAGCAGAAAGCCAGACTGGAAGCAAAGCAGCAAGCAATTGAAACAGTGTTTATATTGGGTGCTGACTTTGCAGGCCACAGTTTAACCCAATCAGCCTCAATACCAGCTCCAAAAGTTGATATTTTAAAACATCTGCTGATTTTACAGAGGCTGAGGGGAAAAAAAGTGATAGAAACTCAGACACTAGTTTTTATTAACAGTGTAGATAGGAGTGTTCACAGCAAAGGGGGCTGATTAATAAGTTTCCTGGAACAGTACAGGACAGGTATTCAATCTCAAACGCTTTGGGGGACAGTCCCCAATCATCGAGCACACAGTACAAAGTGATGGAAGAATTAGAATTCAACCAGAAATAGCAGTATGGGGTTGGTGCTGTGGCATATCCAGTAAAGCTGCTACCTGTATCAATGGCATCGCATATGGGCAGCAATTCATATCCTGGCTACTCCACTTCTGATCCAGCTCCCTGCTAATATGCCTTGGAAAGCGGCAGAGTATTTTTCAAGTCATTGGGCCCCTGCACCCACTTGGGAGACCCAGATGAAGCTCCTTGCTTTGGAGTAGCTCAGCTCTAGCTGTTGCAGCCATTTGGGGTGTGAACCAGCAGATGGAAGATGAGTCTCTCCCTGTCTCTCTGCAACTCTGTTTTCAAACAAATCTTGAAAAAAAAATAGCACTTTGAAGATCATAATCCTGCACTGGATTGTTGATGTTTCAGATGACTTATTGGTAATTAGTCTCACTTTCGGATGAGTAATTCCTATCTGCATTTGTCTGGAACCCTAGCGAGGACTGAGCACAGCCTGGGCAGACTACTGGAAGCAGGGGTGAGGTGAGAGACTCCAGGGCCCTCCGTACTGAGTTCCTCACCCTCCACTCATCACCTCACTGAATCCTCACATCACTCCCTGGAGGTGGGCATTTTTAACTTACCCTGGGAGTCACAAAACTGAGGCTCAAAGTGGTTAAGGAATTCGCTCTAACTCACTTAGCTTACTTACAGAATAAAAATAGCCAATTTGGACTTCTGGTAGCATTTATACGGGGTTTACAGAGGTAGAAAGAGACTGGAGCATAGAAAAATGGTTTAGAAGGTTGTGTCAGCAATCTAGACACTGGAGAGAGAGAGCAAACAGAGCTTGCAATTAGCAAGCCTTGCTCCAGGGCAGGCCTAGTGGTTAACACACTGGATGGGCTGCTTATATTTCCACAGTGGAATGCCTGGATTCAAATCCAGGCCCAGCTTCAGAATCTAGCTTCCTGCTACTGTGTATCCTCAGAGCTGTCTCATGGCTCAAGCAGTTAAGGTCCTGCTACTCACAAGGAACACCTGCGTGGGGTTCCTGGGTCATCACTGGTTATCACTGGCATTTAGGGAATTGAATTAGTAGATAGGAGCATGCTCTGTCAGTCTCTCTCTCTCTCCTTCTCAAAGAAAATAAATAAATAAATAAACAGAACGAAACCAAAGAACAAACCCAAATCTCCGATCCCACACACCTTGCTCTAGCCTTGTCCCTGCGAAGCTGCTGCTACCACTGGGTAACCCTGCACAAGTGACTGTTGTTCCTGGGGCCCTTTTACCCTGCCCTAAGATGTCAACAAATTAATAGAAACGCTGAAAGTCTGCCTGAGGCCTATACATTTCAATGCATTCTAAAGACTTACAAATGAAGACCCTGAATACCATCAGGAACCCGGTAGGCAATATGTTATAATGATTCTCAACCTAATTTTCAAAGTACAAAGGAACAGGCTTGCTCTAAGAAGGCTTTTTAGGCCAGATGATATTGAGAGGAGCCGATCATTTCTGCACATTTCTGTTTCCCTGATTTAGGTATACACAGCTACATTAAAGTCAAATCCGCACGTGACTCTTGAAACAGATAAAACAACTTAAACCTACCTTTTTGAGAAATTTGAGGGAGGCAGAACTTACACTGTCATTAATTTGTCTTCTAAGCGCAAATCTAATTAAAATGAGACATTTCTCCAACCGGTTCAATCAACAGATCGTAAAGAGATTTTGGATAGAGAATACAGGAAATATTGCAATGCTCAAATAACCAACACAATAGTTATTCTATCTTCTGATGCCCAGGATGCTTCTCAAAAATCTTTTTAACAACTTGTGGATGAATCCGTTTCTGCAGGTGTGAAGCAGGCACAGGTCATACCTGCTCACACCTGCAAACTTCTCTCCACCCTCTCGCCTTATTACAGGTCCGTCTTCAAGGTCTGCTCAATGCATGGCGCCAGCATTTTTTAAAAGAGTCCCTCTCTCCCCTTCCTAGACTCCAGGGTTGCTAAAGTGGCCTTCCCCCATCTTGCTATTTCTGTTATCAGAGCCCTCAGGGATCCCACGGCTTGCAGCTGAGACTGCCACTGTTTCAGCTGGGCCAAGGCAGACTTTAATCCTGCACAGCTGAGATTCTGCATCTTGGAATTCTTTGCTCTTTCTCTGCCCTTTGCCTTCTTCCACTCACTTCCTTTAGGATGTTCTCCCTTGCTTAGGAGCGACCTAGCAAATAAACAACTTTTTTTTGAGCTCTTAATCGCTTTAAGTGCTTTTCAGATAAACTGTCCAGGTCTAGGAATAAACAACGCACAGAAAACTTTATTCTCTAGAAACTACCCAGGGCGATTCCACTCTGTGAGTGCAGGCACTTGCAATTTTTAGGTGCCTGCCTTTTCTCTCTAAGCCAGAACCGGAGCAAAATCTCTCTTTATGGTGACCTCTAGCGGGCACGGGGCGGTTCTACAACATTCATGAGACGCGGAGGGCAAACTAAAAGCCAGGCTTCCTGGCGGGTCAAGCATCGCATCCCGTCTCATCCCGACACACTCCTTAATTTTTTCTTCCAGTATTTGTTTTGCACCTAACATCCTTTGCTCTAGGACTCACCTGTTTAGCCTCTGGGGGATGTCGTGTTACTTGCTGGCGAGACTTTAGTCCCTGCCCAGGGGAACCCACTCTCCCGGACGTCGACGCGGGCGCGGTGCGGCTCGCTCTAAGCTCTCCGTGCCCCGACAGCTCGTGCCGCAGCCGCATGGGGTTTGCACGGGGAGGGGGCAATCAAGCCATGATGGGAAACAGCACGCAGACCAAGGCAATCACAAATGCTGATTTTGCTTGTGAAAAGGCGGTGCTCCCCAGACTTTCAGCCCACTCTACGGGAAGCGTCATAGGAGGGTCCGGGCGCTTAACTCGTGGGCGCTTTCTTAGGACTGACGCCCAAGGGAACCGGGGCCGGGGCGTCCGACCTCGAGGCCAGGAGCTGGGGAGTGTGGCAGCCTTCGGAACACGCGGTACGTGGGGTCCCCCCAGAGCCAAGTGGGCAAGGGAAGGCAGTGGCTCGAGCCTTCTCTCGAGGAAACGCTTTGGGCGGTCTCGGACACCGAACTGGGCTGCGGACAAAAACAAAAAGCTCTTCAGACGCCCCCAAAGCCGGCACCCCAGTGCTCTCCTCTGCAGCACCCCCCCTTTCCTTCCCTCTGGGTCAGCGCCCCCCTCGTCTTCCCCTCGGCTGACCGTAGGGCGGGACGTGGCAGCAGGCGCCTGGAGTCGCGGGGCTCCCCACGCACCCCGCGCCCCGCGGGCAGCACCCCCCGGGCCCAGGTCCCTGCGGGCGGCAACGCAATGTGGAGGACGGGCGTGGCGAGGCGGGGAGCCCGAGCTGGTCCAGGGCGGAGCGCCGGGGAATCCCAGCCCGAGCGAGCCCGGGAGGTGCGGGTGCGGGCGCGGGCGGGAAGAGGAGGGCGGCGCGCGGAGGGAGGTGAGCCGAACCGAGCCGGCAGGGAGGAGGAGGAGGAGGAGGAGGAGAGGGAGGCCGGCGACGGAGGCCCCGCCCCCGCCTCCCCGAGCCGGCTCCTCGCCGCCGCCTCCTCCGAACCCCCCGGCTCACTTTGCCTCTCGCCTCTGGACGGCGGCGGCGGGGCGGCTGCCGGAGCGGCGGGCCTGAGGGAGGGAGCGCGGCAGCCACCTGGCACGGGCGCCTCCGTTCGCCCCTCAGGGAGGTCGGCGCCGCCGCCGCCTGGGAGAGGGTCTCCTCCCTCTCCCCTCCACCCCTCAGCCCGGGCGCGAGGGGCGGCGGCGCTGACACAGCCTCGCTCGCTCGCGGAGGGTCGGGGGGCGCAGACGCTGGAGAAGGTGGGGGGACTTGTGCGGGTCCAGCCGCGCGCGGAGGGCGCGTCGCCAAGCCCGCGACACCGGGCTGCTGAGGAGGCTGGAACTGAGGCCGGCACCCCGCGGGCAGCGAAGGGCAGGAGCGGAGCCCCCCGAAGAGACGGAGAGCGAGCGGGCCCCGACGGCGCGCTCCCCACCCTTGACTGTCAAGGCCAGGCGGGGGTCCCGGGAGGGAGCGGCGGCGGCGGCGGCGGCGGCTACGGCCGGGGAGCCCTCGGACCGGCGCCCCGGCTCCTAGCCATGACCTTCGGGCGCAGCGGGGCGGCCTCGGTGGTGCTGAACGTGGGCGGTGCCCGGTACTCGCTGTCCCGGGAGCTGCTGAAGGACTTCCCGCTACGCCGCGTGAGCCGGCTGCACGGCTGCCGCTCGGAGCGCGACGTGCTCGAGGTGTGCGACGACTACGACCGCGAGCGCAACGAGTACTTCTTCGACCGGCACTCGGAGGCCTTCGGCTTCATCCTGCTCTACGTGCGCGGCCACGGCAAGCTGCGCTTCGCGCCGCGGATGTGCGAGCTCTCCTTCTACAACGAGATGATCTACTGGGGCCTGGAGGGCACGCACCTCGAGTACTGCTGCCAGCGCCGTCTGGACGACCGCATGTCCGACACCTACACCTTCTACTCGGCCGACGAGCCCGGCGGCGTCCTGGGTCGCGACGAGGGGCGACCCGGCACGGCGGCCGACGCCACCCCCTCGCGGCGCTGGCTGGAGCGCATGAGGCGCACCTTCGAGGAGCCCACGTCGTCGCTGGCCGCGCAGATCCTGGCCAGCGTGTCTGTGGTGTTCGTCATCGTGTCCATGGTGGTGCTGTGCGCCAGCACGCTGCCCGACTGGCGCCACGCTGTCGCCCAGAACCGCAGCCTGGATGACCGGAGCAGGTACTCCGCCGACCCTGGGAGGGAGCCCTCCGGGTAGGACGCACTGCTTCTCTGCCCGTCCCGTCCGTCCTGTGGCGTCTGTCGGTTCCGTCCGTGCGTGCGTTGCGTCCCGTCTCCATCCCGTCTACCCCCCGGGCGGCCGACGAGGGGTCGGCTGGTTCCCTTACTGTCCATCCCCGCTTCCCCAGCCCGACCAGGCGGGGCTGGCTATCAGAGCTCGGCACACTGCCAGCCAGATGCCCCCCACCCCGGGGAAGGGGCAGGGGAAACCTTCGGTCTTGGTGGTTTATTTGCGGTCGCAAAGCAACTTGCTAATTAGCTTTCGCTCAACTTTTGGTTGCAAGTTTCCGACAGTTTAACTGGAGCTAAGAGCGGTGGGAGTGATTTGCCAGTTCTGGGTGGTGGTGGAAAAGGCGAATGAAGGCTTGTTAGGGAGAAAAGTGGCCGTCAGCACACAGCCCACCGCCCCGTGCGCCTCGCCCCCGGCCCGGCCGTGCTGTGATGGAGTCACTTTATCCTCAGAGAACTCCCCCGAACGAACGGAAGATCCTAAAACAAGGCCTCTCTCGGCCCTTGTTTGCTCTTCCTGCGGAGGATAACCGCTCTGTGACGTGCAGAGGGTCTTACGTGTGGGCAGGGGGAGAAGGATTTCTTGGGAGAGGAGAAAATCTACAACTGCCCCAAATCCACAGCGTTGGGCTGCTTGGTGTTTTCTTTTTTTTCTTGTAAAATGAGAGGAAGATTTTTAAAATCTTTCCTAAGATCATGGTTATCTTTCTGTGAAGACAATACTTTTTTTTTTTTAATTTTAGGAGAAGGGAGTTTATTTTGCATATTTGGTGGGAGGAATAAGCAGAGGAAAGTTGGACTTCCAAAGGAGAAGCCATTTTGGGCACAGAAACCAAATTGTGTGTTGTGTTTTACATTTGTTCCGTACTGTTTTGAGACTCTCCCTCTGTTCACTTTCCGTTGTTTTTCCTGCTCTTTAAATTCAAGTTGTGCCTTGAAATCTTTAACTGATAAAGTGTGTGTGTGTGTGTGTGTGTGTGTGTTAGCAGTGGTGCTGTGTGTCTCGATGTTGCAGTGGATTAGTCCAACATAATACTCTTCCTGTGGGGAGGGAAGACTTTTCTACCATAGACATAAATAAAATTGTCTGGAGTCCATTACTGATGTACCATCTTCGTATGAAATCTGAGACAGGTGTTTTGAAAGGAAATTCATTTTGTTCAGTATATTAGGTTCTGTTTTCCATTTCTAGATAAGAACTGTTTATTTGATATTCCAACAGTGCAGTGGAATTACTTTACATGTCTCAATGCAGAAGAGTGCTTGACTTTTTTTTTTTTTCTTAAGGGGGGCGGGTGGAAAGAGCTGTAAATATGGGCCTTGACAGGGTTTACTAGTAACTGTAGACATCTAAGGTTTGTGGAGATTTGAGCTGCATTAGCCAGAGACACGGGAGAATTGAGTTATTTGTACAGATACTGAGCGAGTTGGCCAAACCAATGCATAAGCAGAAACAGTGAAACACCTGAGTAATACTTTTTTGCAGAGGAAAGGAGAGAGGTTTGGGAGAAGGGGAGTATAGCGTGAAGATCAATAATGCAAAGTGTTTGAAAGAAATGAGATGAATAGTGATGTGGGGGAAAGAATAAAATATGAGAAATCAGAAAAGGAAGAGACAGTCATAGAAGGAAGAAATGAAGAAAGAAGGTTTCCTTTGTGTGTTTGTATCTTAAGTGTGTATGTGTATATGTGTATGTATATATGTATATAAAATTATTCTAGTCAGAACTGTTTCCTAGATACTTAGATATTTCGGGCAAGTGCATGTTTTTCTTGGCTTAATGGCCCAGTTTTTAGGATTTCTTTTTGCAAAATGATTTATGTATTTGAAAGGCAGAAAGTTTCAGAATGAAGGAGACAGAGTGCCCATCAGCTGGCTAGTCCCTCGTGGCCAGGGTTGGCCAGGAGCCTGGAACTCCATCCAGGTCTCCCTCACTGCTTTCCCTGACGTATGAGGAGGGAGCTGGATTGGAAGTGGAGCAGCGGGAATTGAATTGCCGTTCACATGAGATGTCTGCATTGCAGGCGGCAGCTTAACCTGCGGAAGGATGGTGGAATGGCTGAGGATGCTGCGCATCACAAAGGAACACCTTCCCTGGCCTCCTTTAACAGCGAGGGCTCCGAAGCTGGCACTCTTAAGTATGTGAGGGGTCTTCAAAAAGTTCATGGAAAAGGTGTTGTGAAAATGCTGCATGGATTTCAACATTAGCACCAAAGGAAACTTAAAAAAAAAAAAAAGGAGCTTGAGCTCTCTTCCACTAGTTCACTTCCCAAATGCCCCCAACAGCCCGGCCCACGACCCGGGTCTCCAATGAGGCTGGTGGGAACCCAGTCATTTACTGTTGCTTTTTTAGGTCTGAGCTGGAGCCAGGTGTGGGATCTGGGGACTCCAATATGAGCTATAGGTGTCTTAACCGGAATATTAATTCTTAGGTAAAATGTTGACCCCTTAAACTTGTAATTCTATTTTCCATGAACTTTTTGAAGTCCTCTGGTCTTCAATGCCTGCCTGCTTGTGGTTGCTAAAATTAGTCTTTCTAAAGCCTCATTTTGGTCATTTAACCACATTTGATGTAGTATGTCAAATACAGCTAAGACTTCTTTCTTGGCCTTCAAGGATCCTTATGATGTAACCATAACCTGTCATTCTTATTATATCATAGGTTGCAAGCATATTTTAAAAATTGAAATGCAGAAATACAGGGACAGAGAAACACACAGAAATCTCTTACCTGCTAGTTCACTCTTTAAGTGCTCACAGTAGCCAAAGCTGTGTCACAATGAAGCTAGGGACCAGAAACTCAGCTCAGGTCACCCACTTGGATGGCAGGGACCCAGCCACCTGAACTATCACCTGCTGCCTCCCAGAATGTGCAGTGGGAGGAACTGGAATCAACCCAAGCACTCCAGTGTAGGATGCATGCATCTCTAGCAGCATCATAGCTACTGGGCTTGGCAAGCATCTTTTGAGTTATCTGTTTAAGGCACTGTTGATGTTACAGATATTGTAAGTATCATGCAAAGGAAAGTTGGGGTCTACTGTGGTTAATGTGGGAATCCAAGGCACCATCGTTCTGAGAGTTGAGCTGTTCTAACAGGAACCCCAAGGTAGGGGAAGACCAGGAGGTTGTACACTGCCTAGTACTTGTAGGAGATGTCATTTATGTAAATTGTAGATTATGCAACCTACACATGCATTTGTGTCTCACTTAGGAACAAAAGTAGGGAGACTTTTTAATTAAAAGCAACAGCATGGGCATAGGCATGAAACTTGTATGTTATGTTTAGGGAGTAACGTCAATGATAGTAAGAAGTGGATGAAGAGTAGATGACTCTAGAAGGCCTTCTGCTTGAGGGAGAGTAATTTTATTTTGCAGGCAATGGCTAGCCATTGGCTAGTTTGTAGACTTTGGGGTGAGTGGGTTGTGTGTACAGAATAATGGTGTGGTGTGTACCATGAAACAGGGGAGGTTGGAGATCCTTGGGGATTAGAGCTTGGATTGCCATGTGGTGGTGAGAATGGAGAAGAAACGATAGCTCTGGGAAATACTGGGGAACCCAGGCCTTAGGACTGATTGAGTGGACTTCCAGGAGCTAGTAGTATTCCTTGGCAACTGCAGGCTCTATTGGTAGGTCTGTTCCCTTGTTTTTTTTTTTTTTTTAAGATTTATTCGTTTTTATTACAAAGTCAGATATACAGAGAGGAGGAGAGACAGAGAGGAAGATCTTCCATCCCATGATTCATTCCCCAAGTGACCGCAACGGCCGATCCAGAGCCGATCCGGAACCTGGAGCCAGGAACTTCTTCCGGGTCTCCCACACGGGTGCAGGATCCCAAAGTATTGGGCCATCCTCAACTGCCTTCCCAGGCCACAAGCAGGGACCTGGATGGGAAGTGGAGATGCCGGGATTAGAACCAGCATCCATATGGGATCTTGGAGCGTTTAAGGTGAGGACCTTAGCCAGTAGACCACAACGCCGGGCCCTGTTTCCTTGTTCTTGAACCATTCAAGTGTCACTTGCTATACAGTCTTTGGACCGTTGAAATTGGACCGTTCATTAAGCCCAACTCCCAATTCTGTTTCTCTTTGCATGCTGTTACTGATGACCCTTGTAGATGTGATAGCTGTGGTTGAACTTCTCAAGGATTGCCAATTTGTATTATTTATTTGGCATCTATAATATCCTTCCAAGCCTGCTAGTTTTTTATTCATATAAACATGTCCAGACTCCTAAGTTAGATTAGATAAAAAAAAAACCCTGGAAGACAGGTAAATTCTAATACTATTTATACCTCCAGCATCTTTTAGGATGAGAATTATTATTCAGGCATAGTAGGTATCAATGGTTTACATCATATTTCAAAATATACCTTCCAGAAATATGTCTTCATTTGCATAGTTTCAAGAGCTGCTTAAATTGAGGCGGGGGGGCTGTCAGGTAGCAGTATTTTTAGGAGAAGCTAAAGAAATCCTATGCTAGAGTAAGATAAAGGTTATTAAATCAAGAAACAGTAATTCATTAGGTTCTTACTGTATGAAGGGAATAGATAATATTGTTCTTTTTAATAACCTTAGATGTTTTGGAATAGCATACAACCTAAAGTTGGAAATTCTGAGAGGTCTTCCAAAGCAATGATTTTAGAATTTTTTTCTAAAGAACATTTTGTGTATGAGGAAAATTCTTTTATTTTTTTCTTTATTTTTGATAATTTTTATATGGCTAATTAGGGCACAAAGGTTCAAGGGCTACAGGAAAGTGGGTAAGAGTATTATTTCCACATTCTCTTCTTTTTCTGTATCTGGGGTAAGAGGAGATAAAAGGAGAAGCCCCACCTAGCCTCCCACCCATTCCGGATCCCTGATGTGGGGCATGCTCCAAGGGTTTTGCTCAAGTGATTTTGATAGTTCAACAGTTATGAATTGCTGCCAGTCTCGCCATTCCAAGCACGATGAAGTTGCTGC